TTTCCCTATCTTTTTCAATCTTCATTCAATTATTTTTTGAACCATTTCCCATCTTATCTTGTTTCAATCACGTTCTGAACCATTGCTCATCTTTGTTCATCTCACTTTATTGGATTCCCTTATCTTTCCCCATCTTTTCCTATCTTCAATTATTTTCAAACATGTAGGTCATCTCATTCTCTTGTCTATTTAAGGAGTGTTATTCTACTGAATTGACCACATAATCTCCTTCAATTCTCATTCTTACAATGCATTCACATGGGAAGGCTATACAAAATTTCTTCAATGATGATTCTGATGATGATGACCTTCATCAACAGAGGGTTGCAATGGCTGTTCAACACCATACGTTTTTGCTAGAGCAATATGCTCAACAATCCAAACATGGTGGTTTTGTTGCAGGCCGTGAATACAAGAATCAGAAGAGAGAAAAATATCATAAGAGTCTCATGGAGTACTTCTGTGAAAGACCACTTTATCCCCCAGTGGACTTTCGCAGGCGGTTCCACATGAGAAGAGAGCTTTTCTATCACATCTTGAAAGACGTTGTTGCATATGAGCCATACTTTACCCAGAAGATAGACGCTTGTGGACAACAAAGTCTATCCCCAGGGCAGAAGCTGACAGCCATTTTCGAATGCTTGCATATGGATGCTCGGCAGACTCCACTGACGAGTATTGTAGATTGGGTGAATCTACAGCCCTTGAATGTTTGCGAAAGTTTTGTTCTGTTATTGAAGCTGTGTATGGTCAGTGGTACCTCCGTTCCCCAAATTATGCCGACCTTTACAGGCTCTTACACAAGGCTAGTTGCAGAGGATTCCCAGGCATGTTAGGCAGTCTTGAGTGCATGCATTGGTAATGGAAGAACTGCCCCGCTGCTTAGGCATGCCAGTTTACTGGCTACAAGCATAAGCCAACTGTCGTTCTAGAGTCAGTGGCCTCGTATGACACTTGGATATGGCATGCCTTATTTGGAGATGCCGGATCGAACAACGATATCAACGTCCTAGCTCGTTCCCCGTTGTTCAATGATGTAGTCAATGGAATGTCTCCCTATATCCAATATGTTGTCTATGGAAATGAATATAATCTGGGTTATTACTTGACTGATGATATCTACCCTCGTTAGGCTACATTGGTTAAGACGATTTCCCAACTGGATACTCCAAAAAAAAAGACTATTTGCCCAAAAACAATAGGCTTATAAGAAGGATACTGAAAGACCCTTCGGAATACTTCAAGCTCAATGGGCAATTGTTCGGGGACTTGCACGTATGTGGCGCAAAGAACAACTTCATTCAATCATGATGACGTGCATAATATTGTACAACATGATTGTTGAGGATGAGTATGAGGATCTAGATGTAGAATCTGATGATGAAGACAATTGTCCACGAATATCTAGAAGAGCAAGAGCAAGACTTGCTTATGATCTTGAGCCAACTATCACATACGATATAAACCGAGACAGACAAACTATCTCAGATATGGTCCGTCATAATAGAGTTCGTGCTTCGCAAGTGCATCACAATCTAAGAAATGATTTGATCAACCACATTTGGAGATGCGAAGGAGAGGGGCAATGAGCTATGTTGTGTGTTTAAATTATGTAAGTGTGTTCAAATTATGTTGTGTGTTTAAATTATGTTGTCTATTTAAATTATGCAAGTGTGTTTAAATTATGTTGTGTGTTTAAATTATGAAAGTGTACTTAAATTATAAAAGTGGTTGTGTGATTTTAATGAATTATATGGTTTATCATTGAATTTAAAAAAAGACTAATCATAGAAAAATAAACGACAATCATAAAAAAAGATAAACGATAATTATAAATAAAGATAAACAACAATTACAAATAAAGATAAACGATAATTAAAAATAAAGATAAACAACAATTATAAATAAAGATAAACGACAATTATAAATAAAATAAACAACAATTACAAATAAACGTAAATTAATAACCACTATGTAGAGGGCTTGGATAATAGTCTCCAGAGTTGTCTTCTGGATTGTTGGGGGAACTTGTATTCATCTGGGCCTCAATAATTTCGTCTTGCTTATTTCCCCAATACTTCTTCCTTCTTGGAGTAAATTTGGATAGGTTCATGTACATTATCCTCTGTTCATTGGCCTCCTTATCTTGTTAGATTTGATATGCATGTTGCTCTTGTATGAGCTCTAACTTTCGCCTCCTATCCTCTTTTGCCTCATTTCCTTGTTGAACCAATTCAGACAAGAACTTACCACTTTGGTTGAGATAACTTTCAACACCTTTCCCTTTCTTTTTTTCATCCTTCTGTTTATCTCTTCCCAACGACCTTGGAGTGGGCATGACCACATCATCTTCATCTTCCTCCAAATTGACTGTATTGCCACTATGAGAAGAATCTTTGAATGTTTGTGTGGGAGATTCATATAGGTCGTTCCATTTTGAGTAATCTTTCAAGATTTGTTAAGCATGATACAACTTGAAAGGCCTATTTGGAGGTTTAATATCATTCAAGAAAAGTGTTTCTGCGTTCATATCCTACCCATGAAATAAAATAAAACTCAAGTTAATAATTGAAAACAATTAAAATTATAAATTTAAGCATTGAAAAAAATACATCTTCAAGATTGGAGCCACTCACATGCCTTGCATTGACCTTTGTTATACATGCCTTCCAAGGAGAACATTCTTGGTTGATGATCTTGAATCGAGAAGCAATAGCTTGTGGTGATCGTACCCCGGCTCCGCTCATGCCGGATCATTTTCCAAAAAAATTTGGTATACACTCAACCAAAATGAGTCGTTTGATTGATTCGTGCCAATACCCACCCTCTGCATAATGCCTCATCTTCTTGTGGTTTCCAATTCACAGCTCTTTGAGGTTTCGGGGCCATTCTCAACAAGAATGAATGTAGAATAAAAAATTATAACAAAGGGAGAAAGGAAAAGAAATGATTTTTTTGTGGATTATTTACCAAATGAATGGCTATTTGACTGTTGAATTTAAATTTGAGCCGTTGGATGTGAAATTTTACCTTTGAGATTGCCTAAAATGAATCATAATCGTTGATTTTATAGCTGTTGGAATATATTAAAAAAAACAGCATAACATATTATTTGAAAAAGTAGCCGTTGGCCATCAATAAAGGAAATGGGAATCTGCTTTTTCCCACTTGTCAGCGGGCCTAGCATCAATTGCCCATCACGTGGGCTTCCAGCCGAAAAAAAAAATTAAGTAGATTTTGGGCCCATGAATTTATCAGTCCAGGCAGAAATTGTAACACCCCGACTCCGTTTATTTTCCTAATTTAATTTAGCCGAGACCGGTCTCGTTCGAACCGTAGCCTCTCCCTCTCTCTTCCCGGGCCAGCACAGCCCCGGAAACCTTCGGGACTCGCCGGAAATTGCAGAAACGTGGCCGGAATTGACTGGAACTTCCAGCCGCTCGCTATCTCTCCTCC